CATGACATGAGGCATCCCGGATTCGGCTTCAGTGCTCCATGCGACCTGGTTGAGTCTGAGATCGTCGCTTGACAGGCAGTGTCCGAGCTCTCCAAGCACAGCGCCACGGCCCTTGTAACACAAGAAGCGGAGGCAGTCACGGGGTACAGGGTGGGGGCGTAAAGTTGTTGACATGAGAGTCTGGCTTCGTGCAATGTGGAGCGAACGCAGCCTGGAATGTAAAAGTGCGCCAGCAGCTTGTTCGACGACGTGCTCCTTATTGGCAGCCTCTGCATGCTGGGCTTCCAACAAGATTCCTGTCATCAGGCCAGCGACGCCCGACAGCGAGCTGCCGAACATCAACAGCGCGCCACGGAAGCTGAGCTCCAGGATTGCCGGAAGAGAACTGCTCGTTCGTCATACTGAGGGCCGGTAGCCAGCAGTGAGGATTGATATAAGAGCCTAACAGATCCTGCATTATAGACTCTCTAAAAGTCGGACCCTTGGCATAAGGACTTAGACACATCTAGTACCTCTATATCCTCAAGAAACCCTTCTAACGCCACATACCCCCCTTTTCAATTCTAGAAACCGCAGCTGCGCTTGCAGGAGAGCAAGCTGCGGAGGGAGCTGCAAGAGGAGGTCGAAGAAACTCGGTTGCATGCCAATGTCTACTTAAGTTGGTAAGAGCTAGCACTCTGTTGTGTGAATTCCCAGGCAAATCAGACAAGCCGAGCGGCACTGGTGGCTGAACATCAAGCGCAGCTGCAGGAGCCACAACGTGCGCTGTTTGACTCATAGGGTGGCCTTGGGTGGGGTGCTCTACGACTCTACGAGTCTTGCACTATATGGAATGCTATGGTATCACATTGAGTCAACAGCCAGAGGGACGGGAGTTTCAGAAAACAAGAGACCCGCAAACAGACGGGTGGCCGTGTCGATATTTCAATGCCGGACACATACAGGTTCGCCAGAGCAAGGCAGCAGCAGTCTAGAGTACGGACCAATACATGACATGAGGAATCCCGGATTCGGGTTCAGTGCTCCGTGCGATCTCGTTGAGTCTGAGATCCTCGCTTGACAGGCAATGTCCGAGCTCTCCAAGCACAGCGCCACGGCCCTGGCAACACAGGAAGCCGAGGCAGTCACCGGGTAGGTGTGGGGGCGCAAAAAGTTTGGACATAGTTGTCGACATGAGAGTGTGGCTTCATGCAAAGTGGAGCGACCGCATCCTGAAATTTAAAAAGCGGGCCCCGCTTGTTCGAGAACTTGCTCATCATTGGCAGCCTTTGGCCTCCGAGTGCCCTCATGCCAAACAAGTGTCATCAGGCCAGCGACGCTCGACAGCGAGCTGCTGAACATCAACAGCTCGCCACGGAAGCTGAGCTCCAGGATTGCTGGAAGAGAACTGCTCTTTCGTCATACTGAGGGCCTTTATACAGCGGTGAGGATCAATCCAAGGAATCCGAGTGCACACCCCCAAACAATCGGACCCTTGGTAGAAGTTTGTTTTATGCCTAGGGTACACCCTACAGTATATATCTTTAAGAAGCCCTTCTAGCACCGAATGACCCAATCCTAGCCCCAGAGACCCCTTCCGCATTTGAAGGAGAGCAAGCTGCAGAGGGAGCTGCAGGGGGAGGTCCAAGAAACTCATATGCCTTTATTATTAATATGATTATTATGATGATGATGATTATTATTATTATTGTTATTGCTATTGTTATTATTGTTATTATTATTATTATTAAAATGGTTTTATTCCTTGGTCTTCGAGGGCTTGGTTGTCGAGAGGAAGCCCGGTGTTGTGGAGCCCAGGCGAATCAGAAGGGCAGAGCGGCGCTGGTGGCTGAATACCAAGCTCAGCTACAGGAGCAGCAGGCATCCGGGGAAGCAAGCCATAAATGGTGGTTTGGATTTAGCAGCCGGCGAGATCAGGGAGTTTCAGAAACAGAGCACTCTAAAGCAGACCAGAAGTCGTTTTTTAGCGTGATGAAGCTTGACAAGGTCTCTTCGAGACGGTTTGGGAGCTCCCACAAACCCTCCTTTGACAGGCAATGTCCGAGCTCTCTAAGCACAGCGCCACAGCCCTGGCAATACAGGAAGCCGAGGCAGTCAGGGTGGCGTTGAGGGCGGGGGGCGGGGGCGTAAAGTTGCTGACAGAAGGGCTGACTTAATGCATTGTTCAAGCGAAATGTGCGACCAGCAATTTGTCCGCTGCTTATTCGACGAGTTGCAGCCTTGCTTACTTGCAGCAGCTGCATGCCCTCATGCACGAACATGGCTTTTGCATCAGTTCAGGCCGGGGAGGCTCGACAGCGAGCTGCTGAACATCAACAGCGCGCCACAGAAGCTGAGCTCCAGGATTGCCGGAAGAGTGCTCTTTCGTCATACCGAGGGCCTATAGCCTGCCTATAGCCAGGGGTGGGACATTTTGGGATCCCCAAAATGGAGATCCACCCTGGGCATAAGGATATTTTAAGTGTATACTTCACCCATCCCCACCACAGAAACCGCAGAAGCCGTGTGAAATCCTATAGAGCCCCGTCCTGATCTGCACTTGCATATAAGGACACGCTAGGGAACGGCCCTCCGCACAAACCGGTCAGCGCGCCGTTCAGACGCTACGCAGCCCATTATACTGGGTTCTTATTAGGGGACTTAATTTAAGTTGCCATAGTATGAAAACCCTATCAGTTACTACAGATCCCGATTATGGTAACTCAACTAAAATCAATAAAATCCCCTGAACAAGAACGCAGATTAGCCCCTTTCTGCATCTGCAGGGGAGGAGGCTGGAGAGGGAGCTGCAGGAAGAGGTGGAAGAAACTCGTTTTTGATGGGCCGCTTTCATTTGGAGAGGCTTTGACCAGGGGACAGTAGGAGTGTGCGGGTGTAATGCCGGTGTTGTGTGAATCCTGAGGCAAATCAGACAAGCCGAGCCGCGCTGGTGGCTGAATACCAAGCACAACTGCAGGAGCAGCAGGCATCTTTGCAAGCAAGCAGTCGTTTTGATTCAGCAGCCCGCGAGCGACGGGCGTTTCATCATACAAACGACCGCAAGTAAAACAGACCCAGTTCAGTAGGATGCCCAGCAGCTAGCATAAGGACCCCTAGATAAAGCCTACGCTTCGCTGATTCGATTTGGGAGCTCCATGCAAAGCAGTGGAGACCCTGATTTGGCAGGCAATGTCCGAGCTCTCCAAGCACAGCGCCACAGCCGTAGCCATGCAGGAAGCCGAGGCAGTCACTGGGTGAAGGGTAAAGTTGTTCAGAAAGGAGAGGACTTCATGCAAGGTGGAGGGCACATGTCTTCTTCAAATTATCAGCGACCAAAAGGTTCCACGATTTGTACCTTACTGGGCAGCCTCTGCATGCCTTCATGCGAACATTTCATTGCTGGCTTGCTGGAAGGGTGGTGCCTTGTCCCTATTGGTCCATGTATCCAAATATTAGATACTTTGGGCCCAATGTACCCATATAGGGACTACTTGAGGGCCAATGTATAAAACCATATGAGTACATGGACCCTTAGGGCTTAGGGTGTTTTGCCAGCAGGCAGCGCAGCAGCAACGCATCTGTGACATGCTGCAGTCCGAAGTGGCTCCTTGTCTGCAGGAACAACAAGTGCACGTGCACTTAGATAATCAAATTAATAACGATTCTAATGGTGATATTAATAATAACAATAATAATAATGAAAAATAATAATAATAGTAATAATAACAATAATAATAATAGTAATCATAATAATAATATTTATTATTATAGTACTAATACCACAAGCCAGGCGGGAGGCAAAAATACCACTATTAATTAAGTATGTTCACGTACCAGACGCATGGCATCAACACTTCAAACCCACGCTTGGTGCGGTTGGTGTCAACTCTCGTGTGAAGAGGCGAAGATGGAGCAAATGTTGTCTGCACCTTCGAGCCCAGTCAGACCGGATCCGATCGAGGCAGAGGCACGTCGAATGTAGGGATGCTGGCCATGCAGGTGTACCACCTGTACTCGCAAAGCTCACAGTGAAGAGTCACTTTTCCCTTAGGATGTGCTCGGTCCCGCGGTGCCGGAACATCCTGAGCGCGCGGGCCCCGGCCACTTCACTTCAGTTGTTGCGGCTGCCGCAACGAGGGAGTTTTGCAGCCACCTCTGCACCACGAAGCAGGCACTGGCTTGAAAGGCGACCGGGTGCAGGGTGCTTTTCATGCTCTGTCGCAAATGGTCAACCAACTGAACCAGCAGCTTGGAAAGCAGCTCGAAATGGTTGACATGCTTTTGGGTCGGCCCTCTCAACTTACCCATTCCTGTCACGACAAAGGAGGCTCCACTTCGCCGAGCAGGAACTGAAGGATGAGATGCATAGTGCCTTGAATGCCCAACGGGAATTCATCGGAATAGGCAGGTGCCTTCTCGTCTCGATAATCTAAGGCAGCATGTCCCCCTCCGTGGAGCCTGAGTTGGAGCAGTGCATGGCGGCTTCTGGTCTTGCAAGCACAGTGCAGGCACGAGCTGACCCCATGGTTGAAATCCGACATGAGGGGAGCATCAGTCAGGTCAGGTGTCGAGGTCAGGTGTGACAAGGAAGTCGTTGACTCTGTTGCGTGCCATCAGTGTACCCATAGGCCCCTAAGTAGTTCCTGTTTGGGATTACCTTATGGGATTCTAAATATGAACCATAAAGACTACTGGGTAATCACCACAAAAGCCCAGGCTGAGGTTCTGCAGGAGCTCCAGGCAGAGCGTGCCGAGCGCAGCGCTATGGCAGAGGAGGCCGCGGAGCCCGGAGCTCAGATATCGCGAAGTGAGGGTTGGGGCTTTAGGGTTTCGGTTTAGGGTTTAGGGTCACGGTTGGGGGTTTGGGGTTTCGACTCCATCTATCAAGATCCAGCCTGTTCGTCAGCTCTTTCAACAGCGTATCCGACAGATCAGCTCGTAAGATAATGACGATTGTGTGTACTTAGCCTTGCGCATCTCGCCACGAGTGCGATGTGCTGTGGGAAACCTGACAAGCATCCTCCAATCCGTGTAAAAGGGTTTCGACTTTAGGGTTGATGGTTTGGGAACTCCGACTTTAGGGTTGAGGGTTTGGGAACGGCTTAGTTAGAGGCATTTTATGTTTGGTTCTCATGCGTGAACTGATGGATACATAATTCTCTCCCGTCCCACTCCTCGGCCTCAGCAGAAGGGGTCCAACAAGATAGACAGATACAGTAGTTAGATGGGCAGAGTTCGGAAATCGTGTGAGAGCCACTGTTTATTAAGGCGACTCTCCGTGCTCTTGGAGTCGGAGGTCACAGCATCTCGGCTCCGAAATCTTGGGCTTTTGGCTAACAAAGGAGCTTCAGGAAGATAGTCACCTTGGCTAGTATGTGTCTATACCTATTTGAGATTTGCGGCCCGATTTTTTGGACGCCCGGCGTTGAGAGCGCCTCATCTCAAGCAACGTTCAACAGGGGGGAATTCGTCCGAAGGGCTCGGCTACATGATCAGAGCTGCAAAAAGCAAATCTTGTGACGGAGATGCAGGTGCAACACGAACGAGCGGATGACGAACACAAAGTTGCATGGTAGTCGTTATGCCCGAGTGCAGGTCGAAGAGCTTCAGCATGAGCTGACGCAGAAGGCTGGCACGAGCCGCGTGCTGTAAGATCGCCTCCAGTTTCCTCAGCTTGGGAAGCTCTGACACAGGATCAAGAGGCGAGTGAGGTTATCGAGATCGGATGCACCTTGGCCATGAGCTCAGCTCGCTCCGCTGTTAGCGAAAACCGGCACCCCTGTCTCCTATGCCATCACTGCAAATGACTTCACGAAGCTTAGGCCCAAGAACTCGAGGAGCTCCAGGCAGAGCGTGCAGAGCGCAGGGCGACCGCAGAGCAAACTGAGGAGCCCGGATCTCAGACAACGCGAAGTGATGGACGTGGCGATTGAGGAAGGGATTAGGGACGGTTTGTGTTTGATTTCCATGTGTGCCTGTGTGTGCGTGTGTGAAATGTTGTTTTCGCGTGGTTTCAGTGGATAGACTCGAGCAGATATTTATATGAAGATGAACAGATAAACTCTTGTGGTCGTTGCCTGGACAACGAGGCGACTCTCCATTCTCCCGGAGTTCGAAGTCACGGCAGCTCGGCCCTGAAATCGTGGGCTGGGCAGTTTCAGAAAATTAGGCACGCTGACTCCCAATCTACACATATGTATGTATGTATGTATGTATGTATGTATTTATGTATGTATGTATGTATGTATGCATATGTATGTATGTGCATATATATATGTGCGGCAGTAGGATCCTCCTCTCTAAAGTGGTTCCGCTCGGATCTGAAGAAGCTTCTATAACGGGGCTAATCAATCAGAAGGGCTCAGCAGCATGATCAGAGCTAGTGAAAAGAAAGCAGATGCTGAGAATGCACCTCAACAAACGAATGTCGAATGCGCAGTCGTTTTGCCGAGTGCAGGTCGAAGAGCTTCAGCATGAGCTGACACAGAAGGCTGGCACAAGCCGCGAGCTATAAGATTACAAGATCGCCTCTAGTTTCCTGAGCTTGGAAGCTCTGACACAGGATCAAGAGGCGAGTGAGATTATCGAGATCGGATGCACCTTGGCCATGAGCTCAGCTCGCTCAGCTGTTAGCGAAAACCGGCACCACTGTCTCCTATGCCATCACTGCAAATTACTCCATAAAGCTTAGGCCCAAGAACTGGAGGAGCTCCAGGCAGAGCGTGCAGAGCGCAGGGCGACCGCAGAGCAAACCGAGGAGCCCGGATCTCAGGGGCCCCGGGACGGGTCATGTTTGGTTGTTGAATGTGTGCGTGCGTGTGTGTGTGTGTGTGTGTGCGACTTGTGTTCCGAAGGATGTAGGATGTACAATTTTTTTGTCAAAGCAGGGAGCAGGAGTATGCATTGAGAGTCGCCTGCCAACGAAGACTGTATCATTACATAGTGATATAAGTGATATTTATAGAGAAGGGACGCCTTCTCTACGTACCTGCACAACGAGTGGCAACCAGGCTAAGCCACAAACCTGGCAAGTCGACAATGTAACAGAGCGTAAAAATATAACAAGCTGGGACAAACAACATCTATCCAGGTATGTCTGCAAGTGTGTGTGTGTGTGTTTGTTTGTCTGTAGGCATGTACTATGAATGGACACGATCACAGCTTTTCATGATCCCTAAAGCCTAAACTCCTAAACCCTAAACCCTCAGCCGCAAAGACGACTGAGGCGACTCGCCGTGCTCTTGGAGTCCGAAGTCACAGCACCTCGGCCATGGAATCTTGAGCTTGGGGCCTGAAAGGTTCTAAAGAAAAGCCACACTTTTCTTGTGTGTACAAATCGAAGAGGGGGATCCTTCTACACATGGCTACGTACTTGTTTTTCAAGGACCCCGACCCCGAATCTTCTTAGCATCAGGCCGGCGACGCCCGACAGCAAGCTGCTGAACATCAGCAGCGCGCCAAAGAAGCCGAGCTCCAGGACCACTCGAAGAGAACTTCTACTTGGGTCACACTGAGAGCCTAGCCAGCTGTGAGAGACGTGGGAGTCTCAGACAAAGTGGTGGATCCCAAAATAAACCCAGAAATAGTAGGATGTTTTTTTGGTATACAGATTCTTGAACAAGATGCCCCTGAAGAAAGTCATACAAAGCCGTTTGGGTAATGTTAAGTTCCCCCCTGCATTTCGTGGTCTCGCACAACAAATCGCACATTCACCATTTCACCATTCGTTTCCGAATATGGCCAGGCCATTTCACCATTTCACCATTCATTTCCCCCACATGGCCAGGCCAGTTCACCATTTCACCATTCGCTTCCCTTATCCTCCCGACTTTCAGGGGCAAACTAATTGGTGAAATGGTTTATGGGTTAGAGCCAAACTGATTGGCAAAATAAGGAAAGAGTTTATTATGGATTAGGGGCAGGATAGTTGGTGAGATGGTGAAATGGTTTATGAGTTAGCGCCAAACTGATTGGTGAAAGGGTGTATGGGTTAGGGGCAAACTAATTGGTGAAATGGTGAAACGGTTTACAGGTTAGGGCCAAACTGCTTGGTGAAATTGTTTATAGATTAGGGGCAAACTACTTGTTGGAATGGTTTATGTTAGGGCCAAATTGATCGGATCGGTGAAATGGTGAAATGTTTATGTGTTAGGGGCAAACTGATTGGTGAAACGGTGATGTGCTTTATGAGTTTAGACATAGGGCCAAACAAATTGATAAAATGGAGAGTGTGTGAAATGATGAATTGGTGACATGGTTTCGGGTGCGCAGCCACCCATATGGTTGGTCCTCTTCACCTCATAAGACCCAGGTAATTGTATTGTCCCACAGGGGAAACACTGCACAACGTTTGCTAAACGTGTTGCATGCATGTTTTTAGATTTAGTGTGGGGCTGTCATTATGCAACGCCCAAGCGCGCCTATTATGCCGGATATACCACAGTTTAAACACAATCGCATGAAGACACGGAATATGTTATTGAAAATTGTATGTAGCCAAAACTCCATAGCAATGCTTAAAGAAACAGACGCTCTAACGGGATCGCGGCATTACAGTCCAATGTTGAAAAACTCTTAGTTCTAAGTTCTAAATTTAGTCCGCCGTAGGACTAGGGCATGACTGAACCAGATGAACGACTAAAGGCACATTTGCAAGTAAATTGGAGTTACAAGGGTTTAGCGTTTGGAGTTTAGAGAGCGGTCACACAGGCATATGAAACACGAAAATGTACCGACGACAAGGCGAGGATTTTCGCGTACTGTAACAGGGTTTCGACGGGGTTGTGGTAGAATTCATGACGTTTGTATGGGCTTGAGCTGGTCAGCATTCTGAAAGCATGGATTGTTAGAGTTGTAGGTGCAAGTAGAATCAGCATGTGCAACTTCTTCGGTTAATCTCCAAGCTAGGTTTGCAGAGCCTGGGAAGAACGCCACGGAAATCGTGGCTTCCGTAGGGGGATGTTACACACTGGAACGATCAGTGTGAGAAACATCCACAGTCATCCATAGAGACTTCCCTGCTGCACTGCGTATTCTATATTGGTGTCGACTTGGACGCAAAAACATATGAATTCACGACTGCTTATATCCAGATTCAATGATATCAAGGGTTTATCAACTTTGCCTGGGTTCATAAACTTTCGGTGAACCAGTTGCTGGTTCCACAATAGTACAGCAATGCAGAAATGCAGGGGGGGGGAGACTACGCAGCCCAGCCGTTCAGTCTAGACAGAAACCATTCAGACATTACGAAGCCTCATAGCCCCCTCTGCGTCTGCAGGAGAGCAAGCTGATGAGGGAGCTGCAGGAGGAGGTCGAAGATACTCGTTTGCATGGGCCGCTTTGATACGGAGAGGGCTTACCTAGATGTTTAGGGTAAAGTAAAGCCGGTGCTTTTGGAAGTCTAGGCGAATCAGAGAAGCCGAGCGGTGCTGGCGGCTGAACACCAAGCTCAGCTTCAGGAGCACAAAGCACCTTTGCAAGCAATTATTCTGTTTTCATTCAAAGCCAGGTGCGAGACGGGAGGTTCACAGATGGGACGCTAAAACAGACCCTGAATCGTACACGTTGGGAGCCTGACTGAACTCGTTGGCATTTTTTGACAGGCAGCGTCCGAGATTGCCAAAGCAGTGGCAGTGCAGGAAGCCGAGGCACAGTTCTGTGGAGGGAGAAGTTGTTGACAGAGGACAGGACTTCATGCTATCTGTATAAGCACAACCCGCAAGATTATTCGGCAGGTTGCCGCATTATTGGCCGTCTGTAATTGTCCTCGTGCGAACAGATTTCGTGTCATCAGGCCATCGAAGCCCGACAGCACGCTGCCGAGCATCGACAGCGTGCCAAAGAGGCTGAGCTCCAGGATCACTCGGAGAGAACTGCGCCTTCGCACCGTGGGTCTAGCCCAGTGTGAGAGACAAGGGAGTTTCCCAACATCTCTGATCCTAACACGGAAGTGTGAGATCATGTTTGATCCTAACAATCCTAACATGGACAATTAGCAGGATCCTTCCTGAGACATCTTTCCTCGACGAAACTCGTTAGAAAAACATACAGCAAGAACACACACACACACACTGACTGAAGATGCCAGCCACGACCACGACGACCAATACCAGGACCGCAACGACCAAGACCACCGGACGACCAGGATCACCAGGACCATCGTTCCTCGCCACGCGCTGGCGATTGGGAGTCCAAGCGGACGAGCCCGAAGCCTCCTGCCAGGACCTGCGAAGCCCGCAGCGTTTTGATGGCCAAAATGAGGCCAATGCGTCGGAATTTACAATGATTTACGCATCCCCGGAGGATGCGGCAAAACTGGCAACGGAATCCACAACGTGCATCGTGCTGCAGCGGGAACCGCTGGGCGCGTCCCTCACCGCGGTCACACGGTCAAGCGTCTCTTTAAGTTTGCCCTTAACGTAAGAACCCCAAAGCGTTACCACACCGCTTGAGAATACCTCTATGGAAACCTTCCTCACACCGTTAGATGTGCTGAATGTGTAGGAGAGCAAGCTGGAGAGAGAGCTGCGGGAGGAGGTGGAAGAAACTCGTTTGCATGGGCCGTTGTCATGCCGAAACGGGTTAGTTCGGATACTCCGGTGCCGTGTGAAGACCAGAAAAGCAGAGCGGCGCTGGCGGCTGAATGCCAAGCTCAGCTGCAAGAGCAGCAGGCGTTTGTGCAAGGAAAGGGTCGAATTCGGTCGGTTTGCCTCAACACCCGATGACCCGATGAGATATGCATTGATTCGATTTGGGAGCTCTACGGGAACTCGTTGGCATCTTTTGACAGGCAATGTCCGAGATTGCCACAGCCGTGGCAACGCAAGAAGCCGAGGCAAGAGTTTGGGGGAAAGAACAGTTGGTGACCGGTGATATTGGTTGACATGGGAAAGCACTTCCAGCAAGCTGGAGGGCACACGTCCCCTTAACTTTCTGCATGCCCTCATGCGAACCGATTTCTTGTCGTCAGGCCAGCGAGGCCCGACAGCACGCTGCTGAACACCAACAGCGTGCCAAAGAGGCTGAGCTCCAGGATCGTTCGAAGAGAGCTGCTCTGTCCTTCATACTGAGAGTCTGACGAGCTGTGAGAGATGTGGGAGTCTCAGATTATTAGGGATCCTAACATACATTCTATAGACTTTAGACCCTATAGGGGCATCTTAGTTATGATGATCCTTAATGTGGGTACGCTGGCTGCAAGACGTTCTTCAAAAGCCGCATGCCTATAGCGCCCTTTCGAAGATAGGACCCGCTTGGAAGCCCTGTAAAACCTTCAGATGGTGTGCTGCATGTGCAGGAGAGCAAGCTAGCGAGGGAGCTACGGGAGGAGGTGGAAGAAACTCGTTTGCACGGGACAGTTTCGGAGAGGGTTCAGGTGTTGCATCGGCCTCAGTACGGATTAAAAAAGAAGGGCCAAGCAAATGTGTTGTGTGAAGTCCAGGCGCAGCAGAAAAGCAGAGCGGCGCTGGCAGCTGAACAGCAAGCTCTCCTGCAGGAGCAGCGGGCACCTGTTCAAGCAATTACTTGGTTCGCGTGTTGGGATGGAAGTCTCAAACAGCAGTGCATGCCCTCATTTCAATATGTATCCCGTATTCAGGTCAGCGAGGCCCGCCAGCGAGCTGCTGAACATCAGCCACGCGCTGAAGAAGATGAGCTCCAGGATCACTCGAAGAGAACTGCTTCATTCGTTTTCATATGGAGACTGAAACCAGTCGTGAGAGGCGTGGGGTGTGTGTCAGACGCTTAGTCCTACTACG